GGCAGAGTGGAGGGACAGCACAGGAGGGGAAGACCCTCTATGAGGTGGATCGATTCAGTGACTGGGGTAATCGGGATGGGTGTGTCAGAGGCAATGAGATTGGCACAGGATAGAGCACGGTTTAGGGCTGTTGTACATAGGGTCGCTATGAGTCGCAAACGACTCAACGGCACATAACAACAATAACAACACTTGGTACATGCTGTTGAATCAGAACTGACCCGTAGCCGACTCTCCAGCAGATTTTCAGAGTCAGTGAATCCCATTGGAAGAGATAACTTGTCTTTCTTCTGCTGAGCATCTGGTGGATTTAACCATGTACCTGGACTTGGCAGTGCAGTGACCATGGAAGCAGTCAAGAAATCAAAGTGTCAAAAAGCAAAGATGTTACTTTGAGGGCTAGGATGTGCCTGGTCTGAGCCATGATATTTTCAGTCACTTTATCTTCTGTGACAGCTGAAGAGTGAATAGAGAAGAGCAAAGGAGAATTGATGCTTATGAATTAGAATGTTGGAAAAGAATGTTGAATATAACACAGACTTCCAGAAGAATAAACAGATCTGACTTGGACGAACCACAGCCAGAGTTCTGCTTAACATTAAGGATGAGGAGATTTTGTCCCACACATTTGTGCGTATTATGGTCCCTGAAGGAGGACTTGGAGCTTGTTAAAGAGGAAGGTGCTCAATGGCAAGGATGACACGGGGCCTTGCAGCATGAGGACAATAGCCAGGCGAGTGCAGGACCCGGCCCTCCTGGAGGGCTGTTATTTGTCTGTAGGCTCACTCTGCTTAGGAATTCACATACCTAGCAACAAGAGATCAGGTTTTTAGTTTTCTTTATCCCCTTAGTTAGTTCTCATGGAGTAATTAATAGGGAAGTATGTTGCTAAGCCACAATTATGCTAGTGCTTCAAATTGCCCATTTATTTCCAGGGATAAAGGCTGACTCTCCCCACCCATGCAATTTGTAGCAGGGGGCTCAGCTGTGAGCTGGTTCCACCTCCGTGGCACTGGGGTTTAATTTAGTTCTCTAGTAGCCTCATGGTAAGAAGCCATGCTGCACTTCCAACGGCACGGGGTTTCAAACCCACCAGGTGCTCTGCAAGAGAAGGTTGGACAATCTCCTCCCATTCATTTACTGCCTACAGAAACCTCGCTGTATGCTCACTGTAGGTCATTTCCAACTTAACAGCATAGAACGACATATATGCCAACTATAATGACATTACTGTTCAGGCCTTATTATTTTAAAAAGTATTTACTATCAACTCAGTTTTGACAATAAATTTGTGTGAGACTGTGGACTCCAATGTACTATCTTATAGGATTCCTGGAAGCACGAATGCTTAAGTAATTGACTGTTAACCAGTGAATTCACAGTTGGAGTCCACCTCGAAGCCCCTCTGATAGAAGTCCTGATGATCTAAAAAATCAGGCACTTCTGGAAACCCTGAAAAGACAGTTTTTCTCTGCACATGTGGGGACATAAGAGTAAGAATCATCTTCATGGGAACTGGTTGATGGGTTGATAATTTTTTTAAATTATGGTTTAGGAACCACTTCTGCCCTTCTGTAAAGCTTGAGGCAACTGACACAGAAAAGTTCAATTACACTACCAAAAACCTGAAACTCAGGTCACCTGGCCTCTTGCTCCAGCACCGGCTACCTCTGTCATGCTGGCTGTGTCCATTTCGATGGGGAAAATTGGTTGTTGGGGTACAAACTACTAAAACATAACTCTTTTATGGGGATGGACTTACACATACACCTATCCACACAGAAAGAGAAAGAGGTGACCTCATATGTCAGATAGAAAGAAATGATGAACTGTACTCATGAACTGAATAAGAAGTCTGATATCTGATCTTTGGAGGACTCTTCTCTCAAATCACATGATATACTGTTCAAAACCATCATTTCTTTTGTCGAATGTCATTTCCCATAACTTCTTGGAGTGCTTGCATATTGATAAATGCATTCATAGGTCTCAGAATGTGATAATTCTTTTGGCAATCTCTCAATTTTTAAAACCGATGTATGGATGGTAAAAATACAAAGGCTCTTTTTATAGAGCCTGTGACAAGAATTAATTGGCCACCTACTGAGTAGTATGGACTGCGACAGTTTCACAGGATGAAATGAAGAGGAAAACTCAGCCTTTGCCCCCAGGAAACTCAGATTACAGCATGACCCTCAAATATGAATTATACAAAATTGTCCAGAAACAATGTCATTATTTTACAATTCTTTTGATGCCTTGGAGTCCCTGACTTGTGCACGTGGTTAGTATGTACCTGGAAGATTCACATCCACCCAGACGTGCCTCAGAAGAAAGGTCTGGCAAACCGCTTATGAAAATGCCATTGATAACTCTAGAGAATACAAAGATTCTGCGCGCACACAGGAGGAAACCATGTGTTCAATCAATGACAGCCGGTTACTAAAGTCTTGGTGCTGTTGGAGAAATTTGAATTTTCAAGTAAACAGAAAGCCAATTTAAGATCCATTCCTATTTTGGCAATGAAAGTTCTTCCACAAGCACATTGAGAGAAAAGAATATTATGTCTGAAGCAATTAGTCATCTGGAGCTGCCCTGCTGAGAAGGTGGTACACCACTGCAGGTACAGCATCACCTCTCCCTGGAGCAGGATCCATCACGGTCCTCCCCACAGGGCTGCACTTTCTACCCAGCCTGAGGATTGATTACTGGTCCCCTTCAGATCGACTCTGACTCCTGGTCACCTTCTACATGTCAAACAGTGCTTCAGAAGGTTTTCAGTGTCTGAGCGTTTTTAAAATAGTTTACTGTGACTTTCTTCAGTACTTCAAGGTATACTTGAGCTTCCAACCTTTCTGTTTATAACTGAGCACGTTAACTATTTGTCCCGCCCAAGGACACCACTCTACCCAGGTCTCTGCAATCCAGCCCAAGAGGAGTCAGATAAGGAGCAGGAGGAAGGTAGCTCATTGTAGTGAAGTCTCCATTCTCTGCTGATAGTACATGTTAGATCAGCTGGGACAGGGGGAGGGGAATTGTGACCCATGGAGCAACCTCTGTACTTGGAAATCATCCTAACATGAATTACTAGTAGATAATCATAGGCATTTCCCACATCAGCATCAGTATGCAGCACATCCTTCCTGGGAAAGAAGTGAAGCAGGAAGAATTGTCAGAGGTGAGGGAGGCAGCTTAGCTACATTATTTACTTATTCAATTCGATTTTTTAGTATCTGAAGTCACAAAAGTTGTAACCAAGACAAACCAAGCTACAAGTACCATTTTTTAAATGTCATCAGCTAAGCAAAAACATTGGACATAAATCATGACTTTTATTGTATTTGCAATTAAGCAGATCAAATTTAATGTCCACCGAAAAGCCTCAGTAATTAGTATAAAGATTAATATAGTGAAATATCCCTGGTTTAACAGGCCTCCCAAGCAAAAAGAAAAATAAAGGATTGAGTATGTAATCGAATAGCATGTGAATATTAATGTGCAGAATCCTCCCAGTCCCCAGATCCCTGATGCAATTATTTTCTATTCACGCTAATTGTTTCTAACAGATGACATTAATGACTTTGAGGTAAAATGTGTCCAAGGGAAGATTTCACAAGATCAATGCTGTTTAGAAATAAGGTCACTTTTATAATTATTTATCCAGATTTCGATCACTGCTCAACATAGTAAGGTTAATATGATGATTGTTTTTTAATACAAATATCAAATGTTAATCTTCACACTAGCCCATAGTATATTGTTGTATTCACATTTTTTCAACTACTACTTACTTCAGCTTACAACATAGTATTTTGTAACAGACTGTGAAAGTATTATCAGTGTTTATTAAATGCAGTTTGAACATTCACTGGAATATTTATACATACATTCATACATACTTTGTTGCTGTTGGGTCCTGGCAAGTCAGAAGGGAGAAATAGCTAACCCTCCACTGGGTTTTCAGAGCCAGTAACACCCATGGGAGGAGACTGCTTGTCTTTCTCCTGAGGAGCAACCGGTGGATCTGAATTGTGTGTGTCTGCAGCACATCTTCTTACCACTTTGAATGCATTAATGGTTTGGTGGCTTAACTCTTACCGTACTCCTAAGGGAGACCTGACTTCAATACCTGGCCAGCTGGTCAATGCACTCTTTGAGCATCTACTACACATTTTTCACTGGAGGCTTATGTGATGCTATGACCAGGTTGGAAGAAAGATGTCAGCAAAGCTTCCAGGCTAAGATAGAAACAAGTATAGCTAGCTACCTCCCCAAGCCAGCCAATGAAAACGATGTGGGTTGCAGTGGCCTTCCCCACAGCTGATCACGTGATAGTGTGGGTCTGGGCAACATTTCCTCCTATTGTGCATGTGGCAGCTGTGAATGAGGGGCCATCTTGAAGGTTCGTGAGTGGCGCAGATGGCTGAAGTCCTTGGCCCTTAACTGAAAGATAAGAAGTTCAAATCCTACAGATACTCTGACAGAAATATCTGGCAATTTACTTTCAAAAAAAGCAGCCATTGAGGGTGGGTGGGGCTAAAGGAAATGTGAAGGATCTTACTTTGATATTACTTTGGTGACAGTCTGTAGGCAGTTGCAATGCTCACTTAATGGCTACACTCCTCTGACGGTTCGAATCCACCAGCCCCTGTGTGGAAGGAAAATGAGTAATCTCCTCCTGTGTAACTTTCAGCCTCCAAAAACCCACTAGAGGGTCAGCTATGAGTGTGTTGCGCAGCTTGATGGCAGTGAGCTTGAGTCTTTTGGGTTTTAACAGTGTCACTATGAGTTGTAATCAGCTTGACAGCAGTGGAGTTTGTCTTATGCACACATGTATGTATGAGTGCTATCTGGGCATGCTAACTGCTTTGAGGTTTAGCTGTCTGAGGCAAGATTTGGAAAGCAACAATTAATTCACTGCTATGAAATGCCTCTGCTTGAATTTTCCATAGCAGCTAGCTGCAGGTTTGGCTTTTGCATAGCAGGTAGATGCGTCCTAGATGTTTCTTCTGGAGATTTGCTTTCAGACCCAGAAAGAAGCTGAAGCCCGACAGGGTCACAAGCTGATGTTGAGATTCACGTGCGCCTCCTTGTTGCCTTCGGAGCAGTGGTTTAGGGTGTAATTTTCCTTCCATCAAGTATGATGTCACAAGCGAACCATGAAACGCATCCTTGAAGCATTGTCAGGCAGATAAAAATGCTTTCCTTTCTTGTGTTCTCTGAAATTCAATATCATGTCCCCCAGCTGATATAGTAAGCAGAAAGTGTCATTCTCAGTCAAAATATCATAAATCTTGACTTTGTCCCCAAGATATCTTTTTGAGTATTGATTACATCTCAAAATCTCTGAGAAATGGTCAAGGAGCTTTTTATTAAAGTCCATGTACCGTATTATTCATCCTACTTTTATTATATATTATGTATGAACTTTTAAAAATTCATGGGCTCTGTGTTGTTTTGGTTTTTGGGGTTTTTTTCCCCTTTAGCTAGGGTGAGCTTTGCTTATTTGGCAAAACTTAACTAGCATGGCTTTTAACTTGCATTGACATAAAAAAAGATAACTTGAAAAACACAAGCCAAATAAATATATAATGAAAAATGTTAGACTTAAGAAAAAATGACAGATGAATGTTTGCAGATAACTAATTTTTTTTATTTCTAATGTATAACTTTGTCACTGTTAGATAGGATATTCTGTATCAAAGGCAAATATTCTCAAAACCATTTGGAATTAAATTTCACTGGAATGCCATAACTTTTAACATTCACAAAGAATTTCAGGGCATTCAATCTATAATGTGGTCTACAGGTCACGGTTTTCTAAATGGGAAGTTTTTATTCAAGAAACTCTTTGCAACCTTTTTCTCTCTCTGTCTCTATTTAACTAAAATTGTGGGGTTTGTACTGCATTTCTCACAGTAAGAATGTGAAACCATTCTTTACTTAAAACATGCTTCAAGTGTTATGATTACTTTATAATCTATAATACATAAGGAGAAAAGTACACATTGAGTAGAGATTCTAATAACATTAAAGTAAACATTGTTTATCTTCCAGTTGAATCAACATAATTAAGATGATGTTGTAATTATAATCAGTATACATTTTTAATGAATCATCTTCATAATAATCATTATCACTAAGGAGAACAATGTTCCATGGGATACGTGGTGTTCTGTGTTTGTGCTTCATTCTTCTTTCGTGCTGATGTCTGTTTTTGCATAATGGCAGAATGCCTAGACATGGACCAGCCCTGAAATGATGTATTGTCATAGTATTTTTTTGGTTAAATGCCATCCTGTTGATTGCATGTACAATAGGGTGAAACACTGCCTGATTCTACCCCATCCATACAATCTCTATGGCCCTTAGCCTCATTGTTAAAGCCACTCTATCAATTCATCTCTTTGAGGGTCATCATCATTGGGTTTTTTAATTGGCCCTTTACCTTACCAGCAATGATGTCTTTCTTCAAGAACTACCTTTCCTGAAAACATGTCGAATGTAGATTAGACAAGTCTTAACAGTTTTGCTATTAAGGGACTCTCTGGTTGCATTTATTCCAAGGCAGATTTGTTACTTTGAAAGTCTATGGTATATTCTATGTTCTTCACCAAGTCCACAATTCAAAAATTTTTCTTCAATCTTTTTTATTCATTCTCCAACGTACATATGAGACAATCAGGAAGCATGCTTGGGCTCAAGTACTCCTTGCTCCCCAAAGTGACATCCTTGCTCTTTAGCTCTCTAAGGAGGTCCTTTACAGCTCATTGAACCAATGCAGTGCACTGCTTGATGTCTTCACTCCTGCTGGACACTCTCTTCTCACCTGCTAATCTTGGGCTCATAGATGACTTTAGGAAAATTATTAGTATCTGAGTACCTCAGTTTCCACATTTGAAAATGAGGATAGTGGTATTTCTATTGTGTCTTAGAGAAGTGTCAGTAGTATTAAATTAAATAGTTCATGAAATGCCCTAAGAACAGAGACAGCAATAGCATAGAGTCAATAATAGGATCATAATTCTTTAGCTCTCTTCTGTTGTTCCTTAATATGTCACACTCTGCTACAGCCACAGAAAATACAGCAATGATATTAAAAAAATATTTGAGAAAGGAATCTGCTAATATGTCTTTTTAGGAGCTGAAAAGGTCATGAAGAACATGTTTCCACTTCTGCCTGTTGTTTAACACAGTTGTTTTGTCACTTGTGTGCAAGGTGTCAGATAATGACAGTCTATCAAAAAGAGAAAATATGAGTGCTTAGGTAAATTTTATATTCATGGAAGAAGTAAAACATATGTATTAAATTTAAAAAAAATAATATAATAGAAGCACTTAAAATTTACTAAGCATTATTATATGCTGCTGATTCAAGCCCAAAGAACTGGAAGTAACAGACAGATATAGGATCCAAACCTAGAAAAGGTGAAGATGTCCACATATGTATTTCATGTAGTCCACATCCTCAATGAAACTCCCTTTAAACTCATTAGCAGCCCATAGTAGATTCCATCATGGAGGTGGTGTAAAGAGTTCTGATGGCATAAAGCAAAAGCATGTTTCACTGCTAACCAAAAGGTTGGCACTTTGCATCCACCAGCTGTTCTACAGGAGATAGATGGACAGTCCCCTTCCAATAAGATTTACTGGCTAGGAAATTCACTGGAGGGTGCATTTGAGCTGGAATCAACTCAATACCTCTAATAAGGTCTCATCAAGGAAAGTACTATATAACATCAGACTTCATCAATGGAATGACTATATAATAACAGCCAAATCAGAGAATTACAGCCAGTCACATTGACACACAAGTTTAACTATCACCGACCACCTTTTGTTAACTTGCCATCTCTACACATCCCTTGAGCTATAACCTTAAAGACAACTGTAAAAATCATACTTCCAACACAATTGGAAATTAGTATAACTGGAAATTAAGTGCACTTGCCCCATTTAGGGAGCTTTGGTGACCTAGTGATAAGAAACTATGATGCAATGCCAAAGCCACATGGTTTGAATCCACCAGCTTCTCTCTGGGAAAAAAGATGGGCATTCTCCTCTTGTCCTCATGCTGCCTATGAAAACCCATTGGAAGGTCAGCTATGGTTTGGTTCTGACTCAGTGGCACACGTTGATGATGACAGCTGGTCTAGTGAAAAGAAACTGTGCTACAGTCCTATAGGTACATGGCTCAAATCCACCAGCTGGATAAGGACAGGCAATCTCCTCCCACGCAGCTAACTACCCCTGAAAAGCAGCTAGAGGGTCAATTGTGGGTCCGTTCCAACTCAATGGAACACCACAACAACAACAACCACCCTTTTTATATATGTTATTTTATTTTCTTGTCAAGAACACCAAAAGATTACATGTACATATATAAGGAAGAAGTGTAATCAATGCCTATAGGAGCAGCTCATTTTTGCAGTCACATGGTTGTAACTGGTATTTAGAATTACTTTGTTCTATTGTTGTGTTGTATTTCCTTTCCCTTCAACAAACATCTTAGCTGATTGTGATTCTTTGCCTGGTAAGTGACCAAAACCTTCATTCTTAAAGAGTCTGAGCCATTAGCAATTATATTCAAATTGAGTTGCTATAACTTTCAATTGTCTCTAATCACTGGTGAGATAGTACTTAGAGATGACCTAAAGAATTAAAGAATCTGCTATTGGAACTTTGGTCTGAAGCATTTGGATTCTGTAAGATGTAAGCTGATTGGTAGTTTTGATTTCATTAACAATCAGCTGTGGGCTAGAAGCCATTTGTTTAAATCAATCAGGACCCTGTGGCCAGGCCTTTGTGATCAAAATCTGGTTAAACCCCATGGCCTGTGGCCTACTCATAACATTTGGTGTCAAGACTGAGTTGCTATTAGAAACGCAAACTAAATTGGTGATTTATTGTGTTTTGGAGAGAACACTGTTCTTGTTGGTACAGCACTTGTCTGTCAGTTTGCTGTACTGAGATAACATATGACTTGCTGTGCCACTGGTGTTAAATGCCATAAGGGTTACCCATGATGGAAAGATTTTAGTAGAGCTCTCAGGTTAATCATAGGGTTGCACAATTCAATGGGTGGGTGGGGTGAAGGAAATGGGAAGGATCTTTTGTGAAAAACAATGTATTAAAACTTTGTAAATAAATCAGAAATTTAATTTTTTTTTAAAAAGCAGACTAGGAAGTAGGATTCTCCATCCATTTCTTAAATATCTGGCCTCTGAAAACCCTTTGAATATGTTGACTGCCACAATGGGCTCTAGTGTGTCAGGAAGTATGAAGATGACACAAGACAGGGTGAGGTTCAGATCTGCTGTTCATAGGGTTACTATGAATCATACTCGACTAGATAGCACCTAATAACAACTTCTTTACTTCCATGATGTTGTGTTGATCTTATCTCCCTTTGATAACCAGGGTCAGTCACATCAGACAATGTAACTCCCACCTCTGTCTGTTGACCATAGTCATGAGCAGCCCAAAGTGGCTAGGTGGCATTCTTCACTTCCAGTTTTGTTGCATCAACTTGTATCTCCAGGTAGCAGTATTTCTCTTTTTGAAACTAAGACTTCCAGGTCCAAAAACATGGATTTTGCAGTGACGGAAAGTAAAAAATGTTGAGCGGGTCACTAGGAGTAATAGTAAATTGTAGAACTCTCATTTCCAACTCTTTTTTTTTTATTTTCCTGGGCTTGTCAATCCTAGCTAGCAGAGAAGCAGCTCAATATATACCAGAAATTGGTTTGTTTAACATATAAAGCCTCCTGAAGAATTGCCCCAATCCTTCAAGGTTGCTGTAACTGTGTCTTTAAAAGGTCATTGCATCATCAGATATAAAGAATATGATTAGAACAGAGAATTTCAAAATCCCTAACTCATTGTTTTACTTAATTTATTTGAAGTACATCCCTTCATCTGAGGTAAGATACCAAGACAGTGCATAAGACGTCCTGTAAGTCAACAGATGGCAGTCTTGGAAGAAACATTGCCGACAGGGAAGGGAAATCCTCACCTTTTCCATGATGGAAGCAAACCTATGTATTTGAGCTGCCACCAGTTTTCTGGTTGATCATCCTC